TAAAGTGATCGTTCTTTCACTAATTAACCACATTTACTTATGTAAATTCGAAGAAGTGAAATATAACGTTCAAACTGCCGCTTTTAATAACTTTGCTGAATCTATAAAGATCACCATTCTTTCTTTGAATTGTTAATAAAGTAGATAAATTAAAAAAAAGAAATAAATAAGAACAGATGATAATAATTTTAAATACAAGCATTTTATCAGAATGACAATTTTTCTGTGCTATTTGCAGAGGAAATTTTCAGTCAAACCTTCAGTCTTTGTGACGTCAAAGCATTACAATCCAGGACTAAAACGTGACGCCTCAAGTGTATGGCTTGAAGATGTAACAAAATCATCTTGTAAAGTTTGTATGAGAGAACTGCAGAATTATGCTGGATCGCACCGACATATTTTTGTGGTAAGTATAATGTATCCCTAAGTTAATGTCAAAAACAGATCATGCATTGGGCTGCAACGGGCTTTATAAGTTACAGGTAATTCTACGGATACCCTTAAAAAGAACAGCCCGTAGTTATCATAGGTCGAACAACTCTGCAAATTCATCTTAGAATTAGTTATTAAAAGGCGCAAATTACTTTTCAACATTCTTCACCTTCACACCTCATGCCCATTGCATTTTATTATTTATCTATGCATGCCGGTCGATTAACGAGAAATAACGGGTTGTTGATTTTATTTTCAGAATTGGCTGGCCTTTTCGGATCTTCCCAACCCTCCCTTTTCAGAACATAACTCTATCTACTTTGCAAATGATAAACCTCCCAACAGCAGACATTATAATGCATTTTGCAAGGTCAGTATGAGCGTTTGCGTTTGAATCCAAATCTCAGTGAAAAAGCCTTTTTTCTTTACCATCTGATGGTAGTTATCAAGTTTTACTTTCAGACCATTAAAGCGAAGGTGTTTACATAATACTGACAATTCCACAGGTCACGCATTCGCTACTTCTATACCGCAGTCACCTCTATAATGGAGTCTGTCCATTTGGTGTTTGTATGCATTGAATAGTTTTAAGAATTAAATGTAAGTTTTCCGTGAAAGGAGAATGATAGAGCAAAAGCATAAAATCCATTTGAATGGCAATTTCAAGTTATCAAAGGTTTAAAGTTTAGTTGTAGCCTTTGTTTCAAAGGGCTTCTTGTGCTGAGCTGAGTAAATTCAACTAGCGTTGGCCTCAAAATCTGTTTCGTCTTACTGTATTTGTTTCACAGATTTGAGCTTCTCAGTTTGGAAGTGTACTTTATAGTGCCAGCCCAGTTTATTGTGAACGTTGACATGGCATGCTTTTCCCAAAATTTTAAGCTCAAAGTTAAGAATTAGTTCATTCACAATAATCTCAAAATCGTCAGGAAAACAAAAAGACCTCCTTTTTCAAAGGCGGAGCAAGGCCTAATCAAAACCGAGGTTCTCAAATTTCACTTTGTTTCATTTTTACCCGTCTCTAGTCAAGGACACTTTAAGGTATTATCTATGAACAGTAAAGTAAGATTTAGTCATCCATTTCTCTACAACTTGACTATATAAACTATAAAGTGAAATAACTAAAGAGGTGTGTGAATTAGACGATATCTTGTTAACAATTCCCCTTTAAGTTGAAATATTTTCTTTACCTTTTATATATAGGAGGCAATCTTTGCCAAAAGTTATAACACAACGCCACACGTCTTCGTTTCTGCTTCTCACTCGACAAAAGGAGGGAATCAAAGTCCAGTTCATAACAGCATAGCTGCCTGGGTAGAGGTTGGTAACTAGTGATGTCAGGATATCAAATTTCATATTAAATTAAGAGTAGTATAGTAGAGAACTAATTAACCTTTTTTCGTGGACGAATCTCGTCATTCTGCTGAGGAATACATAAACACCGATGATGTTATGACCTTTTGTCTTTATTCCTTGAATAGTAACCTGTGAATAATAATAATAATAATAATAATAATAATAATAATAATATTCATCATCATAATCACAACATATTTAACCGGGGTAAACCTGTCAGTGAAAGCTGTTATAAATGGGGAGAACGATACCAATTTCAGCACTGAAGAATACAGTCAACTACAACAAATAAAGATAAAAATAAGTAGTTACGGTTGTATACTGGTGCTTGGGCACCAGTGAAAAAAGTGCCTTTCTTAGCAGATTCTGTGCGTACTGCAGAAATTAAAGTATCTAAATATAGGTGGAATCTCATTAACATAGGTCGTGTGCCATTTTAAGGAGGTTTAACCGGTTTACACTGGGGCTTTCTAGAACTTGTTAGGGAAACAAATGCGTTGCTTTTTGATAGGTTGACTAAAAAAAGTAAAGTATTCTTTTGTAGATTTATGCTGTCAAAGTAATAAGCGCTAGCTCCCTTTTGACATGAAATCGCTGAGTAAGTGTCCAGTTCTCCTGCTTTCATTGCCCAAAATTTTTTTCCAGGTTAGGTTCTCTGTTTCTTGGCGAGCAAATCGTGCATATTGATGAGTTCGAAGACAAACTAGCTCTTTCTAATAACAAACCGAATTTTTAACTTACCCGAGTCCCCCTTCTTCTTCTCCACAATTCAGTTTTTTCGCTTCGCCTCCCTTTTGTGGTTTTCCTTTCAGCACGAAAACCACCACAACAGTCTCCAGAAGCACATTTTCTTTGTTTTTCCGGTCCTCCTCCACCACCACCACCTTACTATTGTTTTCCCACTACTACCACCTTTCTATTGTTTTCTCTCTTTCTCCACCAGCACTACTGCCACCACCAAATTTCTAGTGTTTTCCCTCCCTCACCTGCCCATTTCTATTGCATTTCCATTGTTTTCCATACTCCACCACCACCACCACCACATCCCAATGCGTATTTCCACCACTACCACCATATTCCAATGCGTATTTTAGGACTAATGTTTAGTGCTTTTACATACAGCATATTAGCAGGAAAGGCTTTCGGGTTTGTGTCAAAGAACTGTATGAGGCAAAATACGACCCACTCTTCATATCCTACATAGTTTTGTCAGGTAAGAACTTTACTGCAAAAAAGAGAAGATTTCTTACGGTATGTCTTTCAATATTGTCTCTTATTTGTGACTCAATGCGGTGATTTATGCGCACAGATATCTGTCCAGATGGATGGGATTACTTCAATGGATACTGCTATTTAACGAGCTCTGTTTGCGCACCTTGGGTGACTGCAGTGTCCAACTGTTCAGCTATGAACTCACATCTGGTAACAGTGCACAACCAAGAAGAAAATGTCTACATACAGCACCGTCACAATGGCGAGCGATCATGGATTGGCCTTAATGACCGAAGCGTCGAGGGATCTTTTGTGTGGACAAACAAGGAAATAATCAGTTTTCAGTTCTGGGCTCCGCAACAACCAAACAACTTGAAAAACGAAGACTGTGTCCACGCCCTTGGTGCAGAGGATGGCTACACTTGGAACGACGTGTCATGTGATAAATGCTATAACTATACTTGTGTTAAAGGCATGTTTTGAGTTACCATAGGAATACTACAAATCCAAACCTTTGTCACCAATAACGAGGTTTGAAGATCACTTCTGCAGTAGTGAGTTTTTATGATGATATTGTCGCCGTGTTGTTGATCATTTTTTTGCAAAGTCTGCATTTAATGAAACTATCTTCCAGGCAATAGTCTAAATATTTAGGTAAAGGTATAACTCCTGTACTTATCACTCTCAGTAACTCAAAAAAAAAATTTCTCATGTGAATGATAATACTGCTTCCAAGTAAGATCACGGTGACAAAATGGTCTTCATTGACTTTTGTTGTCTATTGCAGAAATTGACGAATGCATCAGCAATTATCAGAGGTGTGATCCAGACGCTGCTTGTCAGAATNTTTGTGTGGACAAACAAGGAAATAATCAGTTTTCAGTTCTGGGCTCCGCAACAACCAAACAACTTGAAAAACGAAGACTGTGTCCACGCCCTTGGTGCAGAGGATGGCTACACTTGGAACGACGTGTCATGTGATAAATGCTATAACTATACTTGTGTTAAAGGCATGTTTTGAGTTACCATAGGAATACTACAAATCCAAACCTTTGTCACCAATAACGAGGTTTGAAGATCACTTCTGCAGTAGTGAGTTTTTATGATGATATTGTCGCCGTGTTGTTGATCATTTTTTTGCAAAGTCTGCATTTAATGAAACTATCTTCCAGGCAATAGTCTAAATATTTAGGTAAAGGTATAACTCCTGTACTTATCACTCTCAGTAACTCAAAAAAAAAATTTCTCATGTGAATGATAATACTGCTTCCAAGTAAGATCACGGTGACAAAATGGTCTTCATTGACTTTTGTTGTCTATTGCAGAAATTGACGAATGCATCAGCAATTATCAGAGGTGTGATCCAGACGCTGCTTGTCAGAATACCGTGGGCTCATACATTTGCACTTGCAAAGCTGGATTCTATGGAAATGGAAAAAAGTGCTTTGGTAACTATCACAATCCCTTTTTTATGTTTTCCCGACCTTTGCATTCTTGTTGGCTGTTGAGTTAACATATTTGCCTTTTAAGGTAACTAAGGTACTTTATTCTTATCCAATATGTATAGATCAGAACTTACCAATAAACTAAAAACTAACTAAGAATTACAATGGGCATTCTCTGTCTTCGTTTTCACAATTAATTAGGCACATAGAATATTTGCTCTGCTATCTGCACGTTTAGTGTCCCATCGACTCCTTCTGGGCTCAGGTTTGACATTTAATGTAATATATCATCAAATTGACTGGGACTCTGCGACATGTATAAGGCATTCTACAGACTACCATCAACGTCTTACAGTTAGAAAGCTGGTTTACTAACTTAGAACAAACGCCAGTGAATCGTAGCCAAGAGTTACCAGCGCCGTACAAACGACTTATTGACGAGGTCAAGCAAAACTAACTACGAGAGAACGGCTGGAGAACTGACAATTTGACTAACAATAGACGACTGTTTAACTGTGACAATAGACGGATCGAAACGCACCAATTACTGATTACGAGTCTTCATAGGCAATAACATCACGGCTTAACTGACAGACGACCAATAACATTGCAACGTAATTGACCAATCAGACCAATAACCAGAGTATAATACCATCAACTGACGTGATACAACTCACTTTGACTCTGAAGATGACTACCGCACAGGTTGTCGAAACGTCAGTCACTGTCAACAACAACAGTCCTATTCAGGACTACGTTCACCCGGACGATCAAACTCAACCTACTTTTGATATATTTTTTTGTTCAACCTGTCCATCAATTGGTTTAAACTTATCATACATTGCCATACGTCAAAACAAAGTAATAAAAAATTACCAGCACTAGCACATAATTTACTTAGTCCGGATTCACTGACTACTCAGATTATCATTTGTTTTCTCCGTCACTAGATATTGATGAATGCAGCAACAAAACCCATACCTGTGATGTGAATGCAGTTTGTACCAACACTCAAGGGTCTCACAACTGCACCTGCAAACCTGGATACTCTGGAGATGGAAAGAAATGCATTGCAGTTGGTATGCAGCATCCCTACAGAATTCGTATGATATTGTCTATAATTATTTTATACCGTTTAGTTCGGAAAGCTGGTTCAGTTTACGAATATTTTGCCTAAATATAGACAGTTAGGCTTAATTTGGTCAGTGTTTAGAGCCATTATTCCGGGCCTGAATTTCTTACACAGTTTCTCATACAGCTTGCAGTATAGTGTACAAAAAGTAGATATTATTGTTGACTTTATAAGTTGTAAAGTAGCCATATCCTGCCAAATGTAGAATTAACACGCAGTGCTAATGTCATGTCTTCCAGTTTATAAGAACTGTGCTGAACTGTACAAAGCTGGAAAACGAACAAGTGGAGTTTACAAGATCGACCCAGACGGTGCTGGTGTCTTTGACGTGTACTGTGACCAAACAACAGCCGGTGGGGGGGGTGGACAGTGTTCCAAAAGAGACTGGATGGCTCGGTTAATTTCTACCGCGGCTGGAACGACTACAAAAAAGGGTTCGGAAATCTGAATGGCGAGTTTTGGCTCGGACTGGACAAAATTCACCGCCTGACAAAAACTAAAAACAAACTTCGAGTGGATCTCGAGGACTTCAACAGAAAAACAGTTTATGCTGAGTACAGCTACTTTGCCATAACAGACGAGAGAAGCAAATACAAACTGAGTCTTGGAACTTACTCCGGTAATTATATTACTTACTGGATTTATAATGCAGTTCGGAGCAACGTCTTTAAAGGCCCAAGTTAATGCTAATAATTTTGACGATTAAAAAATAAAGACTCACCACAGAGATACTACTAGTCCCACATACATTGAAGTATGTAATAATCACACCGCTATCAGAAAATAAAAGTAAAGCAAATTAATGTAATATGAACGTATTAGAGTGATTTTAGTTCAACCATGAAACGGATTCAATGTTTCCAGCTGTTTTTAGATCTTAACCATTGTAAAATCACAGTTATGTGGAGACACATTTAAGCAAATATAGTTTCTTCCAATTTCATTTTCCAGGAAATGCTGGTGACTCGCTAAGTGGTCACAAAGGCTACCCTTTCTCCACAAAAGATCGAGACAATGACATCTGGTATGCTAACTGTGCTGTGCGCTTTAAGGGGGCCTGGTGGTACACTAACTGCCATGGTTCCAACCTGAACGCCCTCTATCATCGCGGAAGACACTCTTCATATGCTGATGGTGTGAACTGGGCAAGCTGGAAGGGACATTACTACTCCGCTAAACGAGCTGAAATGAAACTCAAACCAGTCAACTTCTAAACCGGGAACAAACAGCGGTTGTCAGTGCTTATATCTGCTTGATTCGCAATGGTCGTTTAAATAACTTAGCTGTAACACATTTTGTTAGACTGTTGCTGAAATGATAAATTAAGCATAACAAACTATTGTCACAGATTTGATGGAAAAAAAAAACTGTAAAATAAAAGATGTTGCAATTGGTTTTCGCAATTTACAATATTGCTTCTCATTTATACTAACTGCCTTTTGTCCTACTCGTCTTTCTTCTTCCGATTCACTGAACTTTCTGGTCTTTGTTTTTAATACTTGCTTTATATATATTTCATTGCTCAGTCAATTCCAAGCGTGCCCATCCCCCCCGGGAATTTGTCAATTCTTCTGGTAACGGTTAACATTGTTCCTTTGTCAATATTTCACTTTAAAACATGTCTATTTTGATAGCTATTGATATTTGTATAAAGAATATTTTTAATACGTATGCTTTAAAAAGATACGTGCATTTTTCGCCTCATCACCATCCTACCACAATGTATTTGTTGCATCTGTCTAAGGAACTGCTTCCCGCGATCCCTTCAACGTGATCAGTTCGCACAAGGAGGAAAAACAATGAATGCATCGTTTAAAAGAAAAGACATTTTCTTTGTGAGCCAATGGTTGGGGCAGAGAGGCAGAGAAAAACTCTGCGAGATGTTTGAAAGCTAATATTAACTTCGTAATTTGTATGACCAATGCGACGACGTTGACGAAACGGTTCCATGAAGATGAGAAAATAATAATGTTTATAAGTTTGTCGGTTATTTGTTTATCATTTATTACTTTAAATACCTTCGAAAATAAGAAAGGTGTTATTAAAATTCTAGTTTATAGTTCTGTCATTGATACAGACTGTATTAATCAGATCGGATAAATCTTTTTTGCAGTAATTATAACTTGGGGCTAGGACTCGATTTCGGTTGGGCCCGGTGTTTCACTCGTGTTGATCAGGTTATTACAGATTTCCTATAAACTAAATATGGCATTTGCAGCTTATTTACTGGAAAATGCAATGTTAGTGTTGGCCCTGGGTAGGGTATTTGGCCACTTTTTATGCTCCACTGTGGGGTTTTTGGATGAACCGCCCGGCCCCACCGTGGGGCACTGGCAGCTTTTCTAAAAAAAAAAACAAGAAGAAGAAAAAAAAGAAAAAATGCCCGGGGGAAGGTGAGATGGGCACGCTTGGAATTGCCTGAACCATTATTGACCAAAGCAGTAATACTAGTCTGTTTAAACACCATTGTTATGCAAATGAGGTTCCTCGCCACACAAACCCTTCTAAATTTTGGAATGATGAAAGTCAACAGCGGACACCATAGCGGACACCCTAATCGCAACATCCGTTACTATGACAGCAAAGGGAATGATGATGACATAGGAGAAGGTGGCGAACCAATTTTGGGCGAATTGTCTTACCCTAATCAGTCGAGTGCAGTGCTTAGGGTTAAATCAGTCCAGTGCAGTGCTTAGGGCTAAATCAGTCGAGCGCAGTGCTTAGGGCTAAATCAGTCGAGTGCAGTGCTTAGGGTTAAATCAGTCGAGCGCAGGGCTTAGGGCTAAATCAGTCGAGTGCA